TTCCCAAGCTGGGATGGTGGGGGGTGAGGGCTTTTGCCACATCCCCTGACACCTGTACCCAGCCCAGCAATGACCAAGCCACCACTGGAAGCCTCCCGGTCCCTCCTGTGGGAATGAAGGGAGTGCCACAGTATTCAATCCTGCCCCTCCTCCTTCCTCCTTTTCCCATCCCATTTCCTTCCCCTTTCCCCTCTCCCCCTTCCTCCCAGGTGCTCTGCAACAACATCCTAGAATGTAAAAACTAATATTAATAAAATTACATTTTCTTAAAAAAAGTGGAAAGTAGGAGCTGCCACAGGAAGTGCTCTGGGCTCTGCTGACCCGAGGTGGTGGGGGTCCAAGGGCCTCAGCCACATCCCCCAACATGTGCAGCCAGCCCGTTGATGAATACCAAGCTGCAGCAAGAAGAGCCCCAAGTTCCCAAGCTGGGATGGTGGGGGGGGTGAGGGCTTTTGCCACATCCCCTGACACCTGTACCCAGCCCAGCAATGACCAAGCCACCACTGGAAGCCTCCCGGTCCCTCCTGTGGGAATGAAGGGAGTGCCACAGTATTCAATCCTGCCCCTCCTCCTTCCTCCTTTTCCCATCCCATTTCCTTCCCCTTTCCCCTCTCCCCCTTCCTCCCAGGTGCTCTGCAACAACATCCTAGAATGTAAAAACTAATATTAATAAAATTACATTTTCTTAAAAAAAGTGGAAAGTAGAATAGTGGTTACTAGCGGCTGGGAAGGGTGGAAGGAGTAAGGCATAGGGAAAGGTTGGTCAACAGATACAAAATTACAGCTATATAGGAGGAATAAGTACTAGTGTCTATAGCTCTATAGGTTGGCAAAGCCATAGTAACCAAAACAGCACAGTACTGGCATAAAAACAGATACGTGGACCAATGGAACAGAATAGAGAACCCAGAAATCAATCCACATACTTAACAGCCAAGTTATCTTCAATAAAAATACCAAGAACATACATTGGAAAAAAGACAGCCTCTTCTAGAAATGGTGCTGGGGAGACTGGACATCTATGTGCAGAATAATGAAACTAGACCCTTGCCATATACCAAAATCAACTCAAAATGCATTAAAAACTAAATATAAGACCTAAAACTATAAAATTCCTAGAAGAAAACAGAGGGGAAACACTGTAGAATGTAGGATTTGGCAAAGACTTTATGAATAAGGTCTTAAAAACACAGGCAACAAAAGAAAAAATAAACGGGATTGTATCAAAAAGTTTTTGTTTGTGCAAAGGAAACAATCAACAGAGTGGAAAGGCAACCTACAGATGGGAGAAAATATTTGCAAACTATGCATGCGACAAGGGATTAATATCCAGAATATAAAAGGAATTCAAACAACTTGACAGTAAAAAAACCAAATAATCCAATTAAAAAATGGGCAAAGTAGCTGATCCAAATTTTTCAAAGCGAGACATACAAATAGCTAACAGATACACGAAAAAACGCTCAACATTACTAATCATCTGGGAAATGCAAATCAAAACCACACTGAGATATTGTACCATCTTAGTTGGACTAGCTATTATCAAAAAGACAGAGAATAACAAATGCTGATGAGGATGCGGAAAAAGTTAGTGCAGCCATTATGGTAAACAGTATGGAGGTTTCTCAAACAACTACAGATAGAACCGCTATACAATCCAGCAATCCCACTTCTGGGTATATACCCAAAGGAATGGAAATCGTCATATCAAAGAAATACCCACACTGCCATGTTTATCACAGCTGTATTTACAATACTCAAGATTTGGAACCAACCTAAATGTCCATTGACAGATGACTGGATACAGAAAATGAGGTGTATTTATATGATGGTATCTACTCAGCCATAAAAAATGAATGAAATCCTGCCATTAGCAGCAACGTGGATGAGCTTGGAGAAAATTATGTTAAGTGAAATAAATCAAGCACGGAAAGTGAAATACCCCATATTCTCATGCATAAGTAGGAGCTAAAAAATAAACAAATAAATAAGAAAGAGAGATACAACAATCACAATAATACAGTGAACTTTTAAAAGGAGAGAACAGAACTGTGGTCACTAGAGGTGGGAAACAAGGAGTGGGAGCGGGGTTAGTGAGAAACTGGTGAAGGGTCACAAAGAATGATTACATTTTGCAGTGATGCAAATACTAATTATCCTGATTTGGTCATCACATAAGTATACTTGATATTCAGCTCTGTACCCAACAAATATGTATAATTGATTACATTTCAATATTTTAAAAAGTAGTAGTTTTTGGTTTTGTTTTTGTTTAAAGAAGGATTTTATGGAAGAGAGATTGAAAAGGAGACCTTCACGCTGCAGGCTCACTCTGAGGTAGATCAACGTCAGGAAAAAGTAAATGAGGAATGTAAGAATCAGGATATAATGTCCTTAAATTCCTCTTTGCCTGTGTAACTCCTGGAAAATCTTCCTATGTCCTGGGAGGTGTGGGTACCCCAGCATGAACAGGACTTATCTAGTCAAATACATTTATTTCTCAAATAGGTATACTGAGGTGAAAGTAGCCCAAGTTGACATAGTGAGTTGATGGTGGAACCTGGACTTAATCAAAGTCTCTTTTATTTCCAGTTTATTATTACTACAGCATCTTTGTACCTATGGGTTCCATGTCTGCCCTAGTTCTTCAGGACCCCCACTGTGAAACCTCCCCAATTATTTTTGTTTGTTTCTCAAAAGACTCATGTTTTATAGGTTCTTGCCCAAACAAAGCCCCCTCTGGGGCTTTCTACTAACTAGCTACAAGCTACTATGAATTCATTCTGTGTTAAAGTTGCCAGATTTAGCAAATGAAAATACAGGATGACCAGTTAAATTTGAATGTCAGATAAACAACAAATGATTTTTTAGTATAACTACGTTCCTTATATTGCATGGGATATACTTATACTAAAAATAACTGGACATCTTCTATTGTATTTGGCAATCCTATTAATCTGTGTTCCTCCCCATCCCAGGAGATCTGCTTTCTACTAACCGACAGGCTAATATGATCAAATAATTCTCAAGACTGGGTTAATATATGTCACTAAGTCAAAGGGTGAAATTTCAAACCAAAAGGGTGACGTGATCATAAGAACTTAAGGTACCATAGGGCCTTTGCTAATCTTTTAGGGGAACCAAAGTAATTATATACATTCTCTGACCAGAAAACTTAAAAGCTTAAAAAGGTAATATGTACCATTTTTTGGCATTCACTATATTATTGTTATTTGCTTATTCACTGAAATATATTAAGCAATAACTATATGAAAGTTCTCATGCTATACAGAAACAGTTCAATTAATTCTGATGTCCATGAAGTAGTGTTATTATTATTTCCTTTATGAAAAACTAGGTCTCACTGAAGTTAAGTGACTGAGTCAAGACCACACAGCTGGTAAGTGGTAGATCCAGGATGTGAAGTCAGGTCTAACTTCAAATGCTAAGTTTTCTACCACTCCATAACACTTCATCAAATCTTCACACTAGCTCATCTTAATCCCTACAGTGACAACAAAGCTGCCAGGTTGGTTGCATTCTTCCCATTTACCAGATGAAGAAACTGAGGATCCAAGATATACTGTAGTTGTAAGTGACCAAACCAGAACCAAAATCAAGATCACCGTGTTTGGGTTCATAATTCCCATTACTGAACAGTCCAGGCACTGTTACAAAATTTGGGGAGGATACAGGATTAGAATTCTGAAAAATAGGGGAAGGGGGATAAATTGCCACAAGTATTTACTCTTAGGGAGCCATACACTTTGGCTCAAGGAGCTCTGGTTAAGACTCTACTCCAAAATAATCTTCATAGCTTACCAGTGTCTGAAGTTCCACCAATAAAGATGCATACTTGGCTTAAAGACATTCTCTCTTTCCATTTCTTACTCCCCTTTCTTCTTCCTCCTCCTCCTCTCTCTCTCTTTCTCTCTCTCTCTCTCTCTGTTTTTGAAATGCATTTACTCCAAGAGTTACTATAGTAAGACATACATACAAGGGTACTTCAAAATCTTATGTAAAGATTCATATTATCTTTTAATTCTATTTTTCCACAAACTTTTTGAAATACCCTAGTAAGGGTCAGGAAGAGACATGTGAAAAATGGGGACTTGTGTAAATGGGGGAAGATCATTTGCTCATCTGGTTGTCCGGGAGTATCATAACATTCTAGGCTTGGATAGCACTAGAAGGAATAAGAGGAATCACTTTGTTAACCCAAAGTCATCTGAGATCATTTTTGCTTCTGGAGCACCAAGGCCCTACAATAGGGTCTACCCAGGCCCTCTGGAAAATATCGTACCTTCCATTTCTGTAATCAGTGGAATGAAGAAAAACTGCTCACTATTGTCTGGGGTTGCCCCAGGAGTGACTGTGGACAAACCAGCCTTCGGAGTGTGACAAATAAATTGCTGTGATTGTTCAGGTGTGGCCTCTTACCTAGGAGCGAGACAATGGTCAGTGTCTGGGTAGGACAGGGTACAGCATCATGGCAGAGTATAGGGCAATTGGGGGAGATCCAGGAACTGAATGTCCTAAACCTACCCTAATTCCCCATCTGACCTCAAATGAATCCCTTCCTCAGACTGGGTCTCAGTTTCCCCACCTGTGAACTAAGGGAATCTGTGGATCATCTCTAAGTGTCCTCTGCATACATTTTGTGTCTCTCTCTGGGTTGTGCCTAACTCCTTCCCCTCTTCTTTTCATTCCTGCAGGAACGTTCCTCTCCATAGCTCTGCCTTTTCCTGGAGTAATGTAGCTTTCCTGTTGCTGCTCTCCCTGTCTTTGGATCAGACTTCTGCATCGCTGGCCAACAAAATCAAACGTGGGTTCAGAAAAGCTGCAGCCACTCTTCCTTAGGAGGCATTCTTGGGGACTGAGGGTCAAACACGAGGCAAGAACCAGTGTCAGATGAGGATTTAGGGTCACAGAGAGCCACCCTTGCTGAACACCCTGGGCCCTCTAAATCCTTCCCTCACCTGTTCCCCCTGAATTATTTCCCTAACTTTTCCTGATATGTGTCTTTTTTGTGTTTAACTTTTTAAAATTAAGGAGTCACTAGGCGTGAGCCTGAGAAGAGAGGACCAACGAGGAAGCTATTGCAATAGTTGAGGAGGGAGATGAAATGAGGTCAGATGTTGATCTGAGGAAGCGGCAGCAAAGAGGTAGAGGAGGTGGGGTTTAGAGAGAGATTTGGGAGATAGAAATGACTGAGGTCCGTGACTGATAGGCTGCTGGGATGGCAAAGAGGGAGGAATGAATCTCTGGATTCTAATAACAGACTGGAACTGTTGATGCCAAATATCAAAATGGGGAACACAGAGTAAGGAGGTGCTGCTTAGGCATGGGAGACACTATTTCTGATTTAAACATGTTGGAACAGAGGTGCTTATGAGACAGCCAAATGGTGTTTTCCCTAGGCAGCTGGAAATAAGGGTCTTTAGTTTGAAATAGAGGATGGGTCTGGAGGGAGACATGGGAATCACAGTCGAGATTGTGGGAATAGATGTGATCACCCAGGGAGTATGTGTCAAGGAATGTCAGGAGACAGATGAGACCAGAACTTTGGGGATCATCCCTACTAAATGCAGAGGCACCCCTGGGGTGCATGGATCAGGGAGGAGACTATACACACAAGGTAAGTGACTGAGAAGCGCTAACCAGGGACAGGGGAGGTTCTAAGTGAGGATTCAAACTGACAATGGGGAAAGGAGCTATAATGACTGAAACGCAACTAAAGGCTTAAATGGCTCCTGGAAGCAGGAAGGAGGCTGGAGCCAATACTGGTGAGATGGGAGGTTTATGTTCATCTTCCCAAAGTTTCCCTTTCTATGCTTCTTTACCCCTTTGGAGGTGCTCCTATTTGACTTACTTGACTCTCTCTGAACTCAAACCTAAAACAATGGTTTCCAGGTAGTAGCCTGCCTCCTGGTGTCCAACTGCCTGCTTCAGGATCAGCCAGGGTCTTTTTAAAAAGTGACACCCATAGGCCTCACTTTTTTAGGGATTCTGATTCAATCCAGAGTTTTAAGACGTGCAGATGATTTTGATGTACACTCCAGATTAGGAACCATATGCTTCTCTTAGTGTCAGGCCATCCTTGGCAGTTGCATGAAAGGTGGAATGAAGGGTGAGAAAGATAGTGGGGAAGTACTAAAAGTTTCAGTGGCAAGTCCTCAGGGAAGACATGGAGCTTCTGAATTGAGTCCTGGATTGTGAGTCCCAGATCTGCCCCTAGGTCACTGTATTATCCTATCTGAATTCATTTTTTAAAAACCTATGAAACCGGAGATTGGTGCTAATGATAAATATGGTCCTTCCAATTCTAAAGTTCTGTAATTCCAAGACTTAATAGTATTCAAAAAGATCGTGTCTCTTTGATCATATGTCACTGGAGAGATGCTCAGTTGACAGCCATGGAGCCACATTCAACACAATTAACTATCCTTTGCTGCATAACAAATTATCTGTAGGTCAGAAGTCTGGCATGGTGCATCTGGATTCTATGCTCAGGTTCACACCAGGCTGAGATCAAAGTGTCAGCCGGGGTTGCAGTTCTCATTTGGGATTCAGGATCCTCTTCCTAGCTCACTGGTTATTAGCAACATAATTTCCTTGCAGTTGTAGGACTGAGGCTCCCATTTTCTTATTGGCTGTCAGCCTCTTGAGGCCACCCTCATTCCTTGGCAATTGGCCTTGACCTTCTTCAAAGCTACCAAGCGTGTTGACTCCTCATAGTTTGAATCTCTCTGACTTCTTTTTCTTTACCAACCAGAAGAAAACTCTGCTTTTAAATGACCCAACTGAATGGGATAATCACATATAATTACCCACTTAGATAATCTCTGTATCTTAAGGTCAGCTGACTTGTGACTTTAATTATATCTGCAAAATCCCTTCACAGCAGTGCCTTGATTAGCATTTGATTCAATAACTGGAGGACGGGAATCTTGGCGGGGTGCAACTTTAGAATTCCGCCTGCTTCAAGCACTGAAATCAGGAAGCCATGCCTTGCTCTAAAAATGAAAGGAAGCAACCCCATATCTACTGAGCTCTTGCCGTGTGCCAAGCACTGCGATAAGTGCATTATGGACATCATCCCACTTAATTCTTATAAGCAGCCTGTAAGGTTGGGGTGGTCACTTTCATTTTACAGGTGGAAAACTTATGACTCAGACAAAGGAGATACTTTCCCAAGATTATTTAGCTAGTTAGTGTTGGAGCCAGGCTCCCAAGCCAGGTCTGTTTGACTATAGTGCTCCTTCCACTCCACCATTTCTTCTCCCTTTAGAGGTAACTTAGAAGTTGTACAGTTGAACTCAGATTGGTCTTGAGTTCACCAGGAGTCAAGGGCCATAGTCAGACCTCCTGATGCCTATTTCCATGATGTTTCCACCACTCTTTACTAATTTCCCCTATCAACTAAGATACTGGAGGCTGAAGAATTAAGCAGTAAAAGTATTAGATTTAAAGAAGAGAATGGAGCTCCTGAATTTAAGGCAAGGGTCTTGGTCTCTACCTATCCCTCTGCCCTGGAATCTAAGATGCTTCTCTTTCAGTTCCTCCTGGTCAAAAATTCCTGATTCAGATTCATCTAAATGGGCTAAGAGTGGTGAGAGACAGACCTGGCCCCTAAATATAGGCACAAGAGCTGAGAATTGAAGGTAGAAGATAGGGCTAAAGGAATTTCACTGCTCACGTTTTCCATGGGAGGAGAAGAGCTAAAACTTCCAAGGGGTGTGAGTATGAACATTTCTTTCTTGCAGAGAAGCCAGGAGTGTGCCCCAAAGAGAGGCTCACCTGTGAAATTAAAGTTACAGAGTGGTGCAAAGTGGATTCGGACTGCCGTGGCTACCTGAAGTGCTGCTCTTTTGCCTGTGGAAAGAAGTGCATGGATCCATACCAAGGTAGTGGCATTTAGGTCGAGGGCAGAGGTGCCTGTTGAGGTTTCCCACTTCTTGCTCTGTGCAGAACTGGCTGAAAGATTCCTTTGGATAGCAGGACAAAGAGGCCAGGTTACATGTTTTTCTCATTCTCTAATTCAACTCCCAACCCTCCAGTACAAACCATGAGTCTAAGTGGGGTGGACATCAATTAGATAATATTGACAGCAGTCTTCTTTGGTCCAACATTGAATCATTCACAAATAACTAATAATTTACATATGCTCACAGTGTCAAGAAACCGTTGTTGGCACTGTGGCAAAATCAAGCCTCATCTAAGCAGATGCTGGCCTTGTCTTTGGACTCTTCAGCCTTCAAAGATGTTTTCTGATAAATCAAACTTCTGAGCCTCTAATCTACATGTGGAACTGTGCATTTTATAAAGATTCATTCATTCATTCAATGAATATCTGTTGTTAATGCCCTTTGGCCAGGAACCTGTAGTTGAACAAGCCAGGTTTTTACTCATTGCAGTGAGGGAGAATGTTCACCATAGACAACCATGAGGCATCTCAGTAAGAAGCTGTTAGAAAGAATCTACAATAGGATTTGGGCTTTGACTGCGTAATTTGGGGCAGTGTCTAAAAAAGTGAGCTTTGCTCTAGATTGGGTTCTGTTAGAAAGTAGGGTCAATTCTGTGACTGGGTATCTCAGTGAATTTTATCTATAGGGAGGGCAGACTACAGTGACGACAAAGCTGTGATTGGTACAGAAACATGTCACTCACATTGTCTAGGAGAGGGAGGTGTTTTGTATTTTGTGGGTTTCACAGTGATCTCATTTTTGTCTCACTTTATCATGATCTCAGAATGACCTTCTTGATGTGGATGTCCAGGGAGATTTTTTTTATGTCCAGCAGGGGAACAACATGGCTTAAGTGTAAGGGTCAGATCAGTTTTCAAACATCAGGGGCTGTTTTTTTTCTTCCTTGGTATTTCATTCCTTCTATGTACCAGGCACTTTATTAGACACTTTGGATATAGTTGCTGAATGAGTCTTGCCCTCCCAAAGCTCACAGCCATGGAAAAGAAAGGTACGCTCCAAAGTTTTCTCATATGCTCTTCATAATATACTTTGCAAGGAAGAAGTGATGATCAGAGGTGTTATACAGCATAGAATATTAGTAGTAGAGCTAGGACTAGGACTTTTTTTTTTTTTTTCACCATGTCTCTTTTTATGACTTGAATGATAACACTGTGGACTATGACAAAGGCTGAAGACCTGACCCTCCTTTTTTTTGTCTCTACTCTTTGTGTTCTTCTCTATTAATTTCCTGCCCTCAGAACCCTGTATGCTACCCTTAGACCCAGGAGGCTGTGAAAGTATTGTGCAGCACTGGTATTTTGACATTGAAAATCATCGCTGCAGACCCTTTTCATATAGGGGCTGCTCTGGGAATGCCAACAACTTCCTCAGCAGGGATGACTGCAACAAGGCCTGCCTGTTAGTTGGTGAGACCCATATCCCTGGCTGTCTGAGGACCTAGTTTAACTAGAAATAGCATGCTACTGCAGTTATAGGCTCAGGCTTTGAGGTTAAACTTACTTGGCTCAAGAATTTCCTCTGTCATTCATGGGTTGGGAGGCTTGGGGCCAGTCCCCTGCCTTTGTGAGATTCAGTTTTCTTGTCTATGAAATGGGGATAATAATAGTATTTACCTAAGGGAATCATTATGCCCCAAAATGATCTAGTACACATAACATGTTAAATTTTTGCTGGTGGGACCTGAGAGCCAAGTCCTACAAGTTGTATCTCCAGCCTGAATCTGACACCCAAACTCTAGTTGTCTACCCTGCACCGCCACCTGGATCTCACACTTAACCTGTCTTAAACTGAATCCCTTTATCTTCACTACCACACCCCAAACCTGCTCTGCCCACAGTTCTTCCCATCTTGGTTGGAAAAACTTCCAAATCACTCTCTTTCTCAATTAACATACATTAAGTTAGGAAATAATTTTAGTTATACCTTGAAAATAGATCCAGAATCTGACCACTTCTTATCACCTCCCAAGCTGCCACCCTAATCTGAGTGCCATCTTCTCACCCAGATTACTACAACAGCCTCCTAAAAGGTCTCCCTGCTCTTATCCTTGCCTTCTTACAGTCTATTCTCAGCACAATAGCCACAACAATTCTTTCAAAACGTGAGTCAGATCATGTCTCTCTTCTACTGAGACCACTGCAATGGTTCCCCATTTCAGTCGAAGTAAAACCAAATCCCCTAAAATGGCTTACGTGGATTTGTGTAGATTTCACGTAATAACCTCCATTTTATAAAGAAGGAAACTGAAGTCACTCATTAAGTGACAGGACTGGGACTTTACCTTGGGGCATCAGGCCCAGCACTCATTTTACCATATCCCATGATATGATGAGACGTTTCATTCCTCCACAGGCTACTGGAGATGGACAGGGTCAGGTGAATCAGTTTGCAAAAACAGATACTAGCTCTGAAGAGAAAGAAGGAAAAGCTGTTTGAAGGGTGATGAGATGGGATGGGGTTTAAAAACTCTAACATCTGTTCTTGTTTTAGTCAGGGAAGGAGAGTGCCCACACTTCCCTTTCAAGGGCCGTATGGAGTGTCCAGATTCATGTAAGAGTGACATTGATTGCTCTGAGAAAGAAAAGTGTTGTGAATCCAGGTGTGGCTTTGTTTGTGCTGACGCCTGGACGGGTGAGGACTGAGGGTATATCTCCCAAACTACTGGGCATATGACTGCTATGTCATGGAATGCAGGGTGTATTGAACCTCAGATGCCCCTTGGGTTGACCTTGAGGACCCTTGAGGATCTTTCATCTTTCAATGCCCAATCAGTGTTCTCTTGTTGACCTCCAGACCTCTGAAGACCATTGTGCTCTTCTTCAAAGTCAATCAGTGCATGGTATCAATCTCCATTCTTCCCCAAGGAAACTTATTTTTTCTGAGTGTCATTCTTCAATGACCTGCAAGGTGAAAATATCCACTGATTTTTTTTTAAATATATGTATGTGTAAATATGTATGTGTGCATATATATACACATATACATATATATGTATGTGTACACGCATACATGTATACACACACATATATATATCCATTAGGTGTATTCCTAATAAACCCTAATTTCTGCACAGAACTTTAGAGCATGTGCATCATATTCATATCCTGTAAGGTGGGCTGGGGAAAGACTGGTAGCAAATGCTGTTGGGGTAGAAGCCAGCTCTCCAGCTGCTAAGGCTGGTGCTCATTTCCCCATGAAGTCCCAGGGTTATCATTGTTTGAAGGTACAGCATAGTATGGTGACAAGAGTCAAGGCTTTTTAACCAAATTCAAATTTTCTACTGGCTGTTTGCATGGCGTTGGGCAACTCACTTCCCCCTGTATGGTTCTCAATTCCTACAATTTATAAAACAAGGAAGTTCTGGGTGCTTTCTAATAGTCCTTCCACCTCTGGTAGTCTAGGATTATATAACTCGAATCCATTAATTCTGTAGGGGCAGGCAGGAGATAAGTTAGAGATGGCAAGAATTTTTTGATGCTCCTTAAGTTCTTAGTCATAGAAAGTTGATAATCTGCCTCCTCCACTCTTTTATTACTGTAAGGGGAAGGGTACAAAGCTTCATTAATATAAAACCCTGTTTGAATTCCCAAGATTTCCCCTAATTTGTCTCAAATTATGACCAAGTATTTCAAGGTCAAGTGTCCTATTTTACCCCATAAAGTCAAATCAGGTTTCTGCCCACACAAGCCTTTGGTATGTGCCAAGATTGAGAAACCCAGGTGCCAGCGAGATAGCGATTGCCCATTGGCAGAGAAGTGCTGCTCACGTTGTGGAATGAAGTGTTTGGAACCCAAAAAATGAATAGTAAGTAGAAAATGTTATCATCAAAATGATTAATTATGAGTAGTATGATAAAAAGCTGTGAGTTTGTCTTGTATACAACTATCTTGACAAATTATCTTATTAAGTATAACAACATTTAATGAAGTTACTTTGATTTTATATATAATCATATCATCTAAAATGATGATAAATTTTTCTCTGCTTTTTTCCAGCTTCATGACTTCGTTCTCTTGTCTTCTTATACTATGTAGAACCTCTGAAAGAATGTTGAAAATAAAGGCAACGGCATCTATCCCTGTCTGGTTTCTTATTTTATTTTTATTCATTAACTTATTTAAGATATTTTAACATTTATTCGTACATATTCATGGGGTGCAGTGTATTGTTTCAATACATGCATATATTGCACAATGATTCACTTAGGGTTGATAGCATAGTTTTGTACCCTTTAGTGACCTTTATTCTACCCTCTACTTCTATGAAAACCACTTTTTTTTCCTTTTTTTTAGAATCCACATATGAGTGATATCATGTGGTATTTGTCTAGTTTTGTACCCTTTAGTGACCTTTATTCTACCCTCTACTTCTATGAAAACCACTTTTTTTCCCCTTTTTTTTAGAATCCACATATGAGTGATATCATGTGGTATTTGTCTTTTTTTGTCTGGCTTAGTTCACTCAACATGATGGTTTCCAGTTCCATCCATGATGCTGCAAATGTTAGGATATCAGTTTTTTAAATAGCTGGATAGTATTCCATTTTGTATCTATACCACAGGATTTTTTTATCCATTCATCTGTTGATGCACATTTAGGTTGATTCCATCTCTTGGCTATTGTGAGTAGTGCTGTGATGAACATGGGAGTGCAGGTGTCATTTTGATAAATTGATTTCATTTCCTTTGTGAGATAGCTGGCTCGTAGTGTAGATCTATTTTTAGTTCTCTGAGAAACCTTCATACTGTTTCCCACAGTGGCTGTACTAATTTACCCTCCCACCAGCAATGTAGGAGAGTTTCTTTTTCTCCACATCCTTGCCAGCATTTATTTTTTATCTCGTTGATAATAGCCATGCTATCTCATTGTGAGATAATATCTCATTGTAGTTTTCATCAGTCATCACTGATGATTAGTGATGTTCAGCACTTTTTCCTGTGCCTATTGGCTATTTGTATGTCTTTTTTTGAGAAATGTTCAGGTCCTTTGCCCATTTTTTAATTGGGTTATTTGTTTCTTTACTGTTGAGTTGCTGGAGTTCCTTATGTATTCTGCATATTAGCCCCTTGTCTGATGTGTGGTTTGCAAACACTTTCTCCCATTGTGTAGGTTGTCTGTTCACTTTGTTGATTGTGTCCCTTGCTGGGCAGAAGCTTTTTGGTTGAATGTAGTTCCGTTTATGTATTTTTCCTTTAGTTGCCTGTGCCTGTATAGTCTCACTCAAAAAAAGTGCTGCCCACTCCCATTTCATGTAGTGTTTCCCCTATGTTTTCTTCTAGTAGTTTCATAGTTTTCAGTCTTAAATCTAGATCTTCGATCTATTTTGAGTTGATTTTTATATATGGTGAGAGATGGGGGTCTAGTTTCAATCTTCTACTTGTGGATATGCAGTTTTCCCAAAACAATGTATTGAAGGAGCTGTTCTTTCCCCACTGTATATTCTTGGCATTTTTGTCTAAAATTAGTTGGCTGTAAGTGTGTAGATTTGTCTCTGGGCTCTATTCTGTTCCCTTGGTCTGTTTGTCTATTTTTATGCCAGTACCATGCTATTTTGGTTACTATAGATTTATAGTATATTTTGAAGTCAGAAAGTGTGATGCCTCCAACTTTGTTCTTTTTGTTCAAGATTGCTTTAGCTATACGGGGTCTTTTGTGGTTCCATACAAATTTTAAGACTTTTTCCTATTTCTGTGAAGAATGTTGTTGGTATTTTGATGGGATTGTGTTGAACATATAGATTGCTTTGGCTAATATGGACATTTTCATGATGTTAATTCTTCCAACCAATGAACATAGGATATCTTTCCATTTATTTGTGTCCTCAATATTTTTCATCAATGTTTTATAGTTTTCATTGTAGAGGTCTTTTACCTCCTTGGTTAAATTTACTCATAAGTATTTCATTTTTTTTAGTAGTATTGTGGATGGGATTACTTTCTTGATTTCTCTTTCAGCTATTTTGTTATTGGCGTATAGGAAGGCTGTTGAGTTTTGTGTGTTGATCTTGTATTCTGCCACTTTACTAGATTAATTTATTAGTTTTAGTAATTTTGGGGGGGAGTCTTTAAGGTTTTCTATGTATAGGATCATGTCATCTACAAATACAGATAGTTTGACTTCCTCCTTTCTTATTTGGATGCTGTTGATTACTTTCTCTTGCCTTATTGCACAGGCTAGAACTTCCAGCACTATGTTGAATAAGAGTGTGGAAAGTGGGCATCCTTTTCTTGTTCCAGATCTTAGAAGAAAAGCCTTCAATTTTTGTCCACCATGTATGATATTAGTGTGGGTTTGTTGTACATGGCATTTATTTGCGTTGAGGTACATTCCTCCTATATCTAATTTGTTGAGTGTTTTTATCATGAAGTGGTGTTGGATTTTATCAAATGCTTTTTCTGTATCTATTGAAATGATCATATGGGGTTTTTTTTCCTGTCGTTCTGTTAATATGATGTATCACATTTATAGACTAGCATATGTTAAACCATCCTTGCATCACTGGGATGAATCCCACTTGATCATGGTATATCATTTTTTTAATGTGTTGCTGGATTCTGTTTGCTAGTATGTAGTTGAGGATCTTCACGTCTGTGTTCATCAGAGATATTGGTCTGTACTTTTCTTCTTTTGTTATCTCTTTTTGGTGTGTGTGTGACCTTAGTGTTATAAGTTTGCACTCTAGCCAAATGCACTAATGGGCTAGCCCAATGAGAACTTATTTTTTTCATTTATAAACATTTATTATTTATTTTTTTTTACTTTTTACCAATCCCAAAGTATTTTGTTTTATTTTATTTTATTTCTTTGAATTTTTTATTTAACTAATTTGTTTTGTTTTTATTGGTTACTCATGGGGTGCAAAGCAAATTGTCACCACTCACACCTAAGATGTGATGACCAGATCCATACTGGCAACATGTCCACTACCACAAATTGTGATTATACCCTGTGTCCCCTACCCAATTTTTCCCTCAATTATCCCTGACCTCCCTCCCCATCCCCCTTTCCCCACTCCACTTTGTATACCTAGGTATGCTCTCTCCCTCTGCAAGTCCAACACACCACTGTGGTCTTTCCTTTCTTCTTTATCTCTTAGCTCCCACTTATGAGAGAATACATATGGCATTTATCCCTCTGTGCTTTGCTTATTTCACTCAACATAAGTTTCTCCAAGCTCATTCATGTTGTTGCAAATGGGAGAATTTCATTCTTTTTTATGGCACAGTAGTATTCCGTGGTGTATATATATCACAGTTTCCTTATCCAATTATCCATCGATGGACATTTAGGTTGATTCCATGTTCTGGCTACCGGGAACAGAGCTGTGATGAACATGGGAGTGCAGGTATCCCTTCGACATGATGATTTCCATTCCTCTGGGTATATACCCAGAAGTGGGATTGCTAGATCATATGGAGGATCTATCTTTAGTTGTTTGGGAAACCTCCATACTGTTTTCCATAGTGGTTGTACTAATTTACAGTCCCACTAACAATGCAGTTCTTTTTCCAAGTTTGGAATGAGAGTAATGCTAGCCTCGTAGAATGAGTTTGGAAGTATTGCCTAGTCTTCAATTTATTGAAAGAGTTTGAGAAGAATTGGTGTTAGCTCTTTAAATGTTTGGTAGAATTTGGCAAGGAAGCCATCTGGTCCTGGGGTTTTCTTTGTTGGAAGTCGTTCTGTTATTCCTTCAATACCATTACTCATTATTGGTCTGTTTAGGTTTTCTAGTTCTTCATGACTTAACTTTGACAAGTTATGTGTGTCTGAAAACTTACCCATTTCTTCTAGGTTTTCTAGTTTGTTTGCATACAGTTGTTTGTAGTAGTCTCTTATGATCCTTTGTATTTCTGTAGTATCACTTGTAATGTTGCCTTTTTCATTTCTGATTTAATTTCTATGAGTCTCCTCTTTTTTTCTTCACTAGTCTAGCTAAAGGTTTATTAATTTATGTTTATCTTTTCAAAAAACCAACTTTGTTTCATCAATCCTTTGTATGGTTTTTAATTTCTAATTCATTTATTTCTGCTCTGATCTTTGTTATTTCTCTTTTTCTACTGATTTGGGATTTGGTTTGTTCTTTTTTTTTTTTCCAGCCTCTTGGGGTATAACAATAGATTGCTTATTTGGAGTCCTTCTTTTTTGACGTAGGCATTTATTGCTATAAACTTCCCTTAATAACTTCTCTTGCTATATCTCATAGGTTCTGGGATGCTGTGTTTTCTTTTTATTTGTCTCCAGGAATTTTTAAATTTACTTCTTGATTTCTTCTTTGACTCATTCATTGTTTAGGAGCATATTGTTTAATTTCCATGGATCTGTACAGATTCTAGGGTCTCTTTTGCTGTTGATTTCTAGTTTTATTTCATTGAGGTTGGATAAGGTAGTTGATATAATTTCAGTTTTTAAAAATGTGTTGAGACTTGTTTTATGTCCTGATATATGGTCTATCTAGAGAATGTTCAATGTGCTACCGAGAAGAATGTACATTCTGCTGCTGTTGTATGAAATGTTCTATAAATGTCCACTAGGTCCAGTCAGCTTATAGTAGGGATTAATTCTGATGTTTCCTGGTTAATATTCTGTCTAGATGATCTGTACTTTGCTGAAAGTGGGGTATTAAAATCTCCATGTATTACTGTGTTGGAGCCAATCACTCCTGTTAGGTTCAATAGTAATTGCTTTATATAGCTGGGTGCTTTGGAGTGGGGTGTGTATATATTTAGAATTGTTATATCCTCTTCTTGAATTGATCCTTTTTTCAATATATAATGATATTCCTTATGTTATTTTACTTTCCTTGGCTCGAAATCTATTTTATCTGATATAAATATAGCTATTCCTGCTCTTTTTTGGTTTCCATTTGCATGAAATATCTTTTTCCATCCCTTCACCCTCAGCCAGTGTTTGTCTTTATTAGTTAAGTGAGTTTCTTGTAAGCACCATATTGTTGGTTCTTGTTTTATAATCCATAAAGCTACCCTGTGTCTTTTAATTGGGGCATTTAATCTATTTCCATTTAAAGTTATTATTGGTATATAGGGACTTGTTACTCTCATTTTGCTGTTGTTTTTCTGGTTGTTTTGTGAATCCTGTTTCTCTTTTTTCCTGGTTTTGCTGTCTTCCTTTGTGGTTGTGTGATTTTCTCTAGCAGTATATTTGCTTTCTCAGTATTTATTTTTTGTATTTGTGTTATGGTTATCATGAGGCTCTGAGAGACCTATTAAGGCTCCACTGAAAGTTATGTGTTTCTTTTCTCTTGCTGCTGTCAGTATGCTCTCATTGTCTTTAGGTTTTGATCATTTGATTATGTTGTGCCTTAGGGTGTTCCTCCTTGGATTGAATTAGACTGGCGACCTCTGAGCTTCCTGCACCTGGATGCTGTCATCTTTCTCCATACTTGGGGAATTTTCAGCCATTATTTTCTTGAATGTGCCTTCTACATCTCTTCTCTTTTCCTCTCCTTTGGGTATGTCAATTGTGCGGAGGTTATTTTGCTTGAGGGAGTCCCATACTTGCTGTATTTCTGTTTCATTTTTTTTCTTATTCTTTTTTCATTTTGCTCCTCTGATTGGATAATTTCATGTCTTATCTCTGAACTCACTGATTCTTTCCTGTTTGATTATATCTGCTGTTGTAACTTTCTATTGAGTTTTTCAATTATTGAATGTATTTTTCATTTCTAGAATTTCTATTTTATAAATTGATTCTATTTTTTATCAAGTTTCTCATTCTGTTTCTGAATTATTTTTGAAGATATCATTTAAACTGCTACCTGTATTTTCTTGTGACTCCCTGAACATCCTTAAGAGAGCTATTCTGAATTCTTTATCAGACATTTCATAGATCTTCTGTTCTTCTGCATCCATTGCTGTTGCTTTGCTTTTTTCATTTGGAGGGGACGTATTTCTCTGTTCTTTCTTGATCTTTGTGTCTGTACACTGATGTGTAGGCATTTGAGGAGGCTGCTATTTGCTGCTGATTCCCTGGGGAAGGCTTTCTGTGTAGATAATTAATCACTTCTGGGTCAGGGCTGTGAGCTAGTTATAGAAAATCAGTCCATGTGATAGGTCCTGGTAATGAAAAAGCAGGAGTGTCTAGGTGGAGACCAGTCTGCCTTCATTCTACATGGAGTTCCCCATTCTGAGCACAGGATTGGTCCTAGAACCACAGTGGAACTGAAGCAGAGGTTGGGCACCATGACACCCAATGAGAGGAGATGAGGGAAGGAGAGCCAAAGGCCCAGGTGGGTCCTTTCCCTGCCCTCTCCTAGAAATTAGGTGAGAGAAGGGGCCAAAACCATGATTCATCCCAGTCTCCAAAGACACAAATTTCATTTCACCTGCTTGGACAGTGACACCATTGAGTGGGCCTAGACATTAGGCATGACAGAATGGGATACAAAGAGGTTTGATTTATTTTCAAGAAAATTTAAAGAGGATTGCAGCCTGTATTGGGGACCCTGGTAACCACTGGAAATGAACTGACTCTGATATTTCAGCCTCTGTCTCCACTAAAGACATCACCTTCGTCCTGTTTGGAATCACCATTTGAACTCACTCACTCTTTGTCTTCAACTGCACAATAAAATATTATATCCACACCAATATCAGAAGATTCTCGGGGCCAGCCCGGTGGCGCACTGGATAAGTGCGCCGCTTGGGAAGCACAGCGGCGCTCCCGCCCAAGGGTTCGGATCCCACATACAGACCGGTTCCCGCTCACTGGCTGAGCGAGGCGCGGGAGCGACCCTGAGGGTTGCGATCCCGTTGCCGGTCCCCGGTCCGGTACGGGGGCAACACTGAGGGTTGCGATCCGTTGCCAGACACGGA